CTCCTCAATGTGTCTGGAACCTCGTGCTTCTGCTAGCTGACGGTGGAGATCGACAATTTCCTGGTATAGGCAATCAACTTTTATCGCATGACTAGTGTCGAACACCTCAAGCTGCAAGACGAGATCAGCCACCTCCTGGTGAAGTCTGGTCATCTCTTTGCGTAACTCAGCAAACTTTGTGTAGACATCTGGAAGGTTTGCTAAGGTTATAACAAGCTTAGGAAACAAGAAACTCAAAGAGACCAAACATCATTCTTTAAACATTAAAATTTGGGGAGGAAAAGTGATAACTCATTATTTTCGATATATTTAAGTCTTTAATACTTTAATTAAATGGAAAAGTTATACTTTCTTAGAGTTATTTATTTGTGTATGTATGCTTTCTACTTATGTAGTAAAGAGTATAGTATATGTTTTATTTTGTTGTCATTGTGCATTTTTGTGTATGTGCAGGAGTGATTCTAGTGGCAAGTTCTATCGAGTCAAAAATATATGACCACTACTCAATAGGCCTTAGGCCAGAAGATGCGGGTTCAAGTTTTGAATCTCAGTGGTAAGGGTGATGTTGCAAAGTTTAGGGGGAAGGTAACTAGGATTGAGTTGTCAAGCTAAAGAGATAAGAATAAGCGTTATAGGACAAAAATTTGGAAAATATGCTTTTGAGCACCACAATAGCCACTATGGACAGTAGGTCTGTTATGAGGCGTGTTGTCTTCTACAAGTGTTGTGTACTATTTTAAGTACCTGTAGTAAAGGATAAAGAAGGTGTTATATTTTATTCCTTGGCCCTAATAAATCGATTATCAAAATACCCAAGATCCAAAATCTGAAATTAACCCTACAAATAAAATGGACTATAAATGGACGGGAGTTGGGAAATAGAAAGAGATTGAGAAGTTCACAATACTTAGAAAAAAAATAGTTCATCATAAAGAATGAAGGTTGAACTAAATTCTAGCGCGTCTCTCGCCCAACTATTCTTAAAGAATACTACTCAATCAAGCGTGACAGAACTCACCACTTGTTGGTTAAAGGTTGTAAGTAATAGAAGTGTCACTCTTTGTAAACTTGTAAGCACTATAACATATTTGAGTCAGAAACGAGAAATACATATGAAGGTGTAAGAGTGGATAAAGAGATTTACCAACAATTAGCTAAAAAATTAATCTATTTGTCTCACACAAGATACTCTTGGTAACTTTGTAGGGTCAATACCTAGCATGAGGTCCACTATTGGATATTGTACCTTTGTTGCATGAAATTTAATAACTTGGAGGAGTAAGAATCATAATATGATGGCTTGTTCCAGCGCTAAAGTCATGATTTAAGTTATGATCCAGTGTATTTGTGATCTCTTTTTACTAAAAGTTAATTTATAAGATTTGAAGGTTAAATAGAATAGACTTATAAAGCTCTATTGTAATGATAATACAATAATCAATATAATTCATAATCGACTTCAACATGATGGAACAAAACACTTTGAGTTGAACAAATATTTTATGAAAAATAAGCTTGACTCTGATTTGTTTTTTACTTCGTACTTCAAAAAAACAATTTGCAGACATTCTTACTAAAAAAAATGAAAAATAAGCTTGACTCTGGTTTGTTTTTTACTTCGTACTTCAAAAAAACAATTTGCAGACATTCTTACTAAAAAAAATAAGCAGTAAGTTATTTAAAAGAATAGTATTCAAGTTAAAATTGGAAAATAGATATTCACGAGCTAGAGAATTATATTGAAAATAAAAACTCATCATATTGTAATTAAGGCCGTAAATGAGTCAAGTTCAGTCGAATTCGCTTCAGCTCGACTCAACTCATTAAGAATAGACTCAATTCAAATCTTGATTCAAATTCAACACAAACATTTTTTAAGTTCAATTTCAATTCATTATAAGTTCACAAATAATTGGATTCAACTTGTATGGTTCATCTCGTTAAATTCAGGTCGCTTGCTTCACCAACTTCAAAGTAAATTTTTTAAAATCTATTTTTGTATATATTTAACATTTTAAACTAGAAAAGATATATAGTTTTCTTAAATAAACATTATTTATATGATGTTGATTTTATTTGTATAATTATTCTTAAAAATATTTTGTTCACTTGAGAATATAAATTATCAATTAAAATCATTAGATTAAAAGAAAATATATGGATAAGATTTATCGTAAATATTTAAACCTACTCTTAGAGACAATATAATTTTTCTCATATATAATCGAGTTGACTCAAGAATCTAACGAGTTAAGAAATATAATTTTTTCTCATATTCAGTTCTTTTAGTTCATGAACCTAGATCAACGATTTAATTGTTGAATCGAATTCCAAACTATATTCAAGTTGGTTTCATTCATTATCAGTTTTAATTGCAATTTTAAACTTCTTTAATCTCCATTTTCCAATTAATTTAAATTCATTGTATAACAACAAGTAGAACAAGTTATAAATGTGTCATAGTAAATCGTGTTAACTTAAATGTTTCTTTGCAAATTGGATCTTTTAATTTTCTATTATTATAGTTATAAACATGCATTTCGTTTAGTGATAAACAACTCAAGCAAAAAAATTGTCGCTATTTTTTACATGGCTTCGGCCTCATTCAATTGTCTTGCTGTCTTATGAGTTAATGATATGCTTTTCTATAGACTTTTACCAGCAATACCTTCAGTATGTTTGCCTCGTTGTTTTCTTTGATGTTGTGACCAGCACTTTATAGAGTTCAGTCGTCTCTCAACCACATGCTCGTGTTACTCTCCAAGAAAATTTGATTCAACTCGCAAAAAATGTCACAAAATCAAATTTCTAGGTGACAATAAGTTTCCAAGTGAAAGAATGTCACAAAGACAAATCCAATAAATAAAAAATGATTGATTTGATATACAAATCGAAAATTCATTTGTTAATTAATCAAATCATTATATTATTTAGAAATACAAAAAATTAAACAATTTTATATTTTAAAAAAGAATATTACAAATAAATAATTTTATTAAAAAAATATTAATAATGATAAATATATTATATAAGAGAATAATAGAAATTAAAAATTAATAATAAAGATAAAGAATAATAATAAATTTAATAGAGTTACATTCATTCAATAGAAATTAAACAAACATTAATATATTTGTCAAAATAGTGAGTATAAAAACACCGCACTTGTTATTTCAAGTATTCTTTACAAGGCCTTGTTTGAGAACGTAGAGGGACGGCTTTAGAAAATAAAAATAAAATAAAATGATAAAAAGAATTGAAAGATTTTGGTTTGAAAGATTTGCGTTTTTTCACAACACCAAAAACTCCATAATTTAAGATAACTCAAAATTTATATTGAAAGTTTTGGAGGACTTAAATAAATTTTCCTAATAGATGATTTGAAAACAAAGTTTGAATTTTCAGTCAAACTTTTATATAGTTAACTTTTTTACTAATTATTTTTAAATCAAATACCATATTCAATCATAAACTCTAAACTAGAGATAGTTGTTAGCAAAAAATTTCATAATTCAACATAAATCATATTTACAATGCTAGATCAGACAATGTAGAGTTATCCACCCAGACAATAATCCAGACTGTCCTACACATTTTAATAGTCAAATATACCAATCTATCCATAAAATTACAGATCAGGCAAACCACATTTGTGCCCTAATATTTGACTTCAATTTTCTCAAAGAAAGAAAGTTAGAAGGAAAAAACAAAAAATTTACAAATGCATATATAAAAAGTAGAGTACAAATTAGGAAACATTAGTTTGACTACATTGAAGCCACTAAATGGAAATGTGTTATAAAAATTGTCCAACTAAATAAACATTTATATGAGCTCTGCAATTTTCTTATTTCAAATGGAGCTTTTTATCAATAACCAAAACATGAATCTTGGCAAAATAAAAAACTCAATCTTTACAAAGTATACACTACAAAGAAACAAAAAACTGTGTACCGAATGAATGTGTGTTTAAACATGATGGTTATGATGGAATAATGTTGATATAATGACAAGAGTAACAATAATCAAATTCATCATTACAACAAGAGGAAGTAGTTTGGGTGGCTGAACATTACAAGTGAAGAGAACAGACAATAATAGAGACCAGACAGTAATAGAGAACATTTCATACTGTAAGGGGGCTGGCAATCATGATAGTGATCAAGGAAAGAGTCTTCTACTTGTAATATAAATGCACACAAATAGTAAAAGTCTCGCCAAAACAAGATAGAGCACCACAACAAAATTGTTACTAACCTCTACTATGTTATAAAAAGACATGTGTATTATACAGCCCAAGTGGGGGCTGGCAATCATGATAGTGATCAAGGAAAGAGTCTTCTACTTGTAATATAAATGCACACAAATAGTAAAAGTCTCGCCAAAACAAGATAGAGCACCACAACAAAATTGTTACTAACCTCTACTATGTTATAAAAAGACATGTGTATTATACAGCCCAAGTGGGGGCTGGCAATCATGATAGTGATCAAGGAAAGAGTCTTCTACTTGTAATATAAATGCACACAAATAGTAAAAGTCTCGCCAAAACAAGATATGAGCACCACAACAAAATTGTTACTAACCTCTACTATGTTATAAAAAGACATGTGTATTATACAGCCCAAGTGGCTTAATTGATTATACAACAGGAATACTTAAAGAAAAGAAATTGCAAAAGCACAAGCAGGAACATCAAGGAGAGAGATGCATTGGTATAAGGTTTATAAATCATTAAACATCATTACTATGTTCAATACTAATTATTAACCAATCAAAGAGGTTAGATAAAGGCATAACTTAGTTTTGATCTAACTCACAAGTAAACTATGATTTAATATCAGTGAAACATTCAAACAAAACAATGAAAAGACAGAATAATGTAACATTTAATTGGTTGAATCCTTAAAAGGACACAAGTGATAACAAAACTTAATATTCAGATTCAGATAGCTAAAGGTACCACAACAAAAATTGACTGAATTATATTAAAAGAGAACCTAATCAAACAGGCTAAATCCCATGTCATCATCACTCTCTTCTTTTGGTTCCTCCTGTAAAATTAAAACAAATACTCAATTAGAAAAACTAACAGTTAATAATAAAAACTTAGAATATCAATTGTTAAATAAAATACCTTTTTCTCCTCGACAACTGGAGCAGCAGCAGCTGCCCCACCGGTAGCAGCAACTGGAGTGGCAGCAACAGCACCAGGAGCTCCAGCACCAGCAGCACTGGCAATCAAATCCCTAATATTTTTCTTCTCAGCAAGTTTAACAAATAGGCTGGGCCAATATGATTCAACTTCAACCTTTGCACTTTTCAACAAAGTGGTGATATTGTCAGCCTATTAACTCAAGTTAAGGTACAACACTTCACAAATCATATTCAAAATCCAACCATTTCACACAAATTGAAAAACCAAATCAAAATTCTTCAACAACCCTAATTGAGTAAATCTATTTCAAAAATAAAATGAACTCAAAAACCCTAATTGAGTAAACGGAATTATAAACACGTTAGAATCAACAGAAACCAAGGATACAGTGACGGCAATTTTATCATCTTCAAGGATGAGAAGAGCGTATGAGCAAGCAGTTTCTCCAAGCGACATTTTCACACTACAAATCAAAAAAAAATTCACGAGAATGCGAATCAAGATCTGAATGAAACGATAGTTGAATAACAAAAACAGATTATAATCGCATATTCAATTGAAATAGAAGCATGATCGGAACGAACTAGTGTTACCGGAAATGGAAGGAAATGGAAGGAAACGAGAACGGAGACGACGAGAAAGTGTAGAGAGTTCTGCAGCGCCGCAAATGTATTGGAATTAGGGTTTGAGGGTTTAAAAGGTAGTGACAATGGTAGTTCTTGGGCTGATCCAGTTTTGGCCCATTTGAAAACTATAGATCTCTAACACCTGTAACGGGTATAGGTAGCAACAATGTTTTCTACTTCAAATATATTTAAACTTGAGAAAAACAATAACTTCAAATTAGAAATTTAACCTAATTTAAATTTTTTTACAGGTGTTTCGACTTCTTTTAATATAGTTTATTTTGTGTAGAATAAAAAAAAACTTATGAATACATACATTGAACTAATGGGTCTATCTTATCTCAAACCTTTCTTGCCAAAACTATTTAAAGTGTAGATAACAAATAGACGACCATAGCCAAAACTTTTGTAAATGTGATTGTAAATGTTTGCAACATTCCTCAAAGCTAGCTACATGGGCATTGCCTAAAAAGAGTTTGTTTACCCCTTACCATTTCAGAATAAGAATACAAATTAGGTATGGAAACGTGCAAGCACATCCTACATGGAACGATTCCCTAGCCGAAAGGCTCAACTCCATTGACTATGTCAGCTATCAGATTTAAATTAAGTGTATAATTGGGGAATTATGTCGTTGGGGAAAGGTTTCTACGAGTTTACTTTCGTTTCTCTCAAAGATATGTAGCGAGTCAGATCAGTTTCTTCGTTGAGTTTAACACCGTGTATCCTCAAACTCTTCCTTTGGTCTAAGGACTTTGTTCCTTCTAATGTTAGCCAAACTTTCACCCTAGTATGGGTTAAAATTTATGGTTTGTCCCTAGAATATTGAAGACCAATGATAATATTCACAATAGCAAGTAGCCTTATAACACTAATATGCATAGAGTGTTCATCTAGTAAGTCGATTTTTGATCGACCTTTTGGCCTCTTTGTGAGAGTCTTTGTTGATATTGATTTACACATAGAACTAGCCTATAAGATATGTGTGGAAAGAGTTGGTTTTTCCTTCTTTGTCGAAATTAAATATGAAAAGTTATTGGAATTTTGCACGTACTGCAATGTTATTGGTCACTCTTTTGGAGTTGGCAGAAGAAGAAACACAATCAACAAAGATAGCATAAAAACCAAACTTCTACTGGATTAGCACAAAACATGTCTCATGTACAGCCAAAAAACAAAGAACCACCTAAGAAAACCAAATGACTTGACAAAGACTGAAATTATATTCTCCACATGACAGATGTTGGACATAATGTATAGGAGAATGTGTATAACTTGCTTATAACAGATTGATAAATAATACTCCATATATTTCAAAATGACTATCGTATAAGGTTTTTACACATAAATTAAGGAATGCAATGATGTTTTCCTAAAACATTACACTTTTACAAAATTAACCCTATTAATGTATTCGAAGTAGTGTAGAGAGTAAAAATTAAAGGACACAATTGGGAAAATAGTAATCATTACTACATTGAAAAGTGAAAATGACAGTCATTTTGAAACAAGATATATTTGCTAAAATAACAGTCATTTTGAAACTGATGGAGTATAAAATAAATCATTAGACAATAAAGAACACAAAGGATTGTTAACTCAGTTTGGTGCGAATTCACCTACGTCTGGGGGGCTTCTAACGCAAGATAAGAAATTCACTCTCAATAGTATTAGTACAAATATTCTTAGATGAACAACTCTTGTTCAATGTCTCTCTTCATAATATTATATGTGACTTTCTATTTAGGACCCCCCTAAATATGAGAACCCCTCTCAATTTCTCTTAATCACTAACCCTAATGATCATTATATAAAACACATCAATAATATTTGAAGTACATCTCTATTAAAACAAACAACCGCAATGCCTTAGATATGAAACTTAGGCGTTATAAAGGTGCACAAATAGAAACAATTACAAAGACTTAAATGACAAAACCTAACACTCAAAATCTTCAACTTTTGCTCGTTCTTTATTCGTGTTGTAACTGGATTATAAATCGAGTCGCCACTACTAGTTTTTATCCTAAGGAAGGGAATATAATAGGAAACCCTAATTTTATACACAGGGATTCTAAGTTCTTACTTCGTTTAGACGAAAAGGAAGGTGTTAGGCACCCCTCATTTACTTTGATCACAAGGATACCAGGGTTTAGGTTTTAAAGATTTAGAGTAAGGGTTTTAATTTTTTTAGTACGGGAACTCGCCACGATTTTAGTTGTATGCCTATGTATCCTCTTATGAGAAATCAGAGTCTCAATTCGTAGTTCGCATGGGTTTGTGTTTTTTATGGATTACGCAGATATTTTAATTCCCCCCGCACTTAGTCCGGGTGTATGAATAACGAAGATTTTGGACCAAATGCATAGTTAATTAAAATATGCTTTGTACTCCTTTTCGAAAAGTAATTGTTGAATTAATTTATTTATGAAAAATGATTTGGTGTTTGGTTGAATATTTTTTTAAGTATTAATTATAAAAAAATATCTTTGATGGGTTGGAAAAATAATATATTTGATTTATAATAAAAAATATATTATTATTATAAATATATAAAAATAGAAAATATAAAAATAATAAAATAAAATAATAAATAAAATAAATTAAAAAACACTGAGGGTGTGAATTTGGTTGAGAAGTAAAACTAAGGGGTGCTAACAGCATGGGCCTAATTTCAGATATTGAATTCAGGCTCAGAAGGTAGGGGTGTACGTTTGGCCTATGCAGTAAAATGGGGGTAGTGAGAAGTAGGGGGCCCAAGTCCAGATTTTGGATTGGGCCCGTTATGCAAAGGAGTGTATTTTTGTACTAACTAGCCGAAACAAAAAAAATAGGGGGTTTGCTTGGTAACGGGCTAGGCCCAAAAATGTTTGAGTCTGCTAGACAGCGTGTGGACGGGAATATCGCAATGTCATGGATACGCATTTTTTGGGATGTTGGATCTAGATCATGTGGGCGTGATGGAAGGAGTATGGTAACATTCATGGACTCACGCGCATTGGATCATTAGGCCTAATATGTTTATTTCACAAAACAGTTTCTTTCATTTTTGCTCTTTCTCTTCTCCTTCCGCCTTGCTCTCTCTCTCTCTCTCTCTCTCTCTCTCTCTCTCTCTCTCTCTCTCTCTCTCTCTCTCTCTCTCTCTCTCTCTCTCTCTCGTCTCACTGTGACAAACAAACTCTAATCTAAACGAACAGCGACGGTGCAACGTCCGAACCCTTCTCTTCCTCTCTGATACCCCTACAAAATAATATAACCCACAAGCCCCAACACAACAACATAAAAAATAAAAGAAGCTCAGTGATTCTTTTACCTCATCGTGTTTTCCTTTTCTCTGTTCTGATCTCGTTTTTCTGATCCCTCTTCTTTCGCCTTTATTTTCGCAGGCGATGGCGGTGATGGGAGCGGCGACAAAGATGGATGGTGTTGAGGATGAAGATAGCGACAGTGGTTTAACATATTTAGGGTTTCAGATCTGAAACCCAAATCTCGAGTAATGGCTAACGAAGCTTTGGACCTTCCTCCTTCTTCTTCCCTTCGTAGTTTTCTTTTTCTGTATTTCTTTTATGTCAATCTCTTTCCCATGTCTTTAGAACTTCTAGGGTATTTATAGGTGTGGAGATTAGTTTGATTTAGGCAATTTTTGTATGATTGGCGTTACAGTTTTGTTGATTGAAGGAATTAGGTTTTAGAATTAGTTTAAATTGATTGTAAATTCATTGTAATTGATACGATTTTGATTTGTTTTTTAAATTAGGTGATTCAATTTAGATCTGTATTGAATTTGCACGATTTTGTGTTTATAAGTCCAATCAGATTTTGTAATATTTGATTCAATCTTATTTTCTGGAGATCTAATTTGCGTTATATTCTGAATTTTCTGGGCTTTAGGATTGTTAGTGGGGAAGATGATAGGAGGTTGCATCGCTGGGAATTGGGAATTAGGGTTTCTCCCTTTTAGTTGACTTTGGTCAACCAAACTTAATAAACCAATAATATGATATATTAATAAACCAATATAATTTGTCATTAGTAACATAATTAACAATAATTTTGGAATAATACCCTTAAGAATAATAATAATAGAAACGTAACAAATAATTTATAAAAAGAGATTTACTCGGTCAACACCATCAATAATCTTAATAATAATAATATTGATAATGATAATAATTATAACAATATATAAAAATAAAGCAATAATATATGAGAAAGGGGTCAAATTTTCTGAATAATAAGAATAATTAAATAAATGAGAAAAGTCAGTAGTTGGCCCTAGTCAAGTAGTTGGCCCTAGTCAACCCCAATTGACCTAAAGGGCTTTAAAAAAAAGCTTAATGGGCCCTTTTAAATTAACTTAGAACCGTAAGACCTATTTGCCAAAACAATAATCACCCCCCCTTTAGATTTTAAACCCCATCATATCTAAATAAAAATCAACACAACTATAAGTTGTAATAATAATAGGACTAAGTAAAATGACTATTAAAATTAATGGGGCAAATTTGGGGGTATGACAATTCGCTTTTAGGTTTTTACATAATAATTCATTTGTTGTAATTTTCTCCAATAGGCATTTGAATTGATAACAACATATTTGATTTTAATTAATATTAGATTTGATTTGATTTGATTTTATCTTCATTCACTTTAAATCTTCGTTTACTTTGAATTGGTCTTGGATAATATTTTTATCAAATCTCTTTTAAAAACATCTTTGTTAAAAGATACAACTCATAAACAACAAATTTTTCGTAAAAACAAACACAATCATGCTTAAATTTACCCATGAAATCTAACTAACAGTCTAAGGTCGGATGTTGCACCTCATGTTGGAACATCTTATCTCACTTGATGCTTCTTCACAATTTTACATCTTGTTTCCCATGTTGTTCTACATAAAGCAACCAATCAAATTAAAAACAATCCACCCCTTTGGCAAATTTTGGCTAAAACAACTCTTACAATTCTTACAAGATGTGTAGGAGTAAATCTTCAAAAAAATCACTTATAAGAGAACAGGTAGTAGCACTTCTCAGAGCATGCATCAAAATTCAAAAGAATATTAGAATATACACAGCAGCGAAAGATCATATCAAAGATCATGTAAAGTGAATGGGATTGCTACACATCAAGAGATCAAATTAAACACCAAACAAAAGCCATATCATTTCACACAGACACACACAAACATTACTCCCCCTTGTTACCATAATTTGGCAAAGGTTTGAAAATGAAAACCAGAGAAGTACCAACAAAACATCAACTGAATCGAATACCGTATTTGGATTGTCATACTACTGAAGCACATCAAGGTAACAACAAACATACAAAGTTATAGAGCTATTATAGAACCAACAACATAAAGAACATTTCATGCCATATATAAGGGTCAAACATAATAAAAACTAAAACAAGTGAAATCAAATAAAATAACAAACTTTAATGTCCATAACAAACATTTGACAATAGCCAACGCTACCAGTTTTCATCAACATTTGTGTAAAAATCACTTGATTGTACATGTTTTCTCTTCAAGGACTTCTTTTCAACATCTTTCCTTTTTGCCTTTCTCTTCTTTGTCACAAACTTCTTTTTTTAATTTTCTCTTTCTCACTCACACATAGTTCACCATATATTTCAACAAATGGTTCAATATATGGTTCAACATGTAAGTTAATATTGATTTCAGCAAATTTACGAGTAATCTCAGTAGGGGAGGAATCAACTTTATTATCTATAGAGTCTATATTCACATAATCCACATGCTTATCACTATCAGTATGCACTAAAGTTTGTTTATCAGTGGGACTTAGCTTTGTTTCATTCTTCTCCAAGTTAGGCTTCTTTGCTTTTTTTCTTTGAGACATCAACTTGCTCTTTTCCTTTTCATTGATTTTTCCCTAACTTGAATCCAAGTATTTTAACCCTATTAGCATTTGTAACAGGTTCATTAACCTTAGCTTCTTCAGATGTTTGGCTCATATCTATAAGAGATTGAAGTACTTGAGAGAAAAGTGAATTAACAGTTTCGTGATAATAATAGAGAGACGTAGATTATTCTTGCTTGTAAAAATGGAGCAGTTATAAGGAAAATTTGAAATATGAATAATCAACCTTATTTTACGTGCATCAATGATCATAAAAAAAATAAAATGCCTTTCTATTATTGCACGCCTCCCATGCATTAATTGCTATAAATTCTCACATATGAAAATACCAAGAGCGCCGCTTAGTTTTTCAAACTGGGTTGCATCTAAAGATTTAATGATTATGTCAGCTAACTGTTTTTTCATTGTTATATGCTCAAGGTTTACAATTTTATCTTCCACAAGTTCCCTGATGAAATATTGATGAATGTCAATATGCTTGGTTCTACTGTGTTGGACATGATTCTTGGAAATATTAATAGCACTTAAATTATTGCAGTATAATGTTATGATATCTTATTCAACATTGTACTCCTTCAATATTTATTTCATCCAAAGCAGTTGGGTGTAATTTCTCCCTGCAACAATGTACCGAGCTTTTGTAGTAAACACTGAGACATATTTATGCTTCTCGCTAAACCAAGAGATTAAGTTGTTTCCAAGAAAAAAAAACATCCATCTGGTGTGTTATTTTTATCACCAGCACTCCAAGTCTAATCAACATCACAATACCTTACTGGTATTAAGTTAGTACCTAGATAATAGAGAATACCATAATCACAAGTCTCATTTATTTACTTCATGATTCTATTCACTTGAGTGAGATGACTGGCCTTTGGTTTAGCTTGGTATCTAGCACAAACACCAACAAGGAATGTGATGTCAGGTCTGCTTAATGTGATATATAGCAGACTATCAATCATACTTGTGTATAAACTTCAATCAAAATCAACACCTTTATCATCTTTGGTTAATTTCACATGTGTTGCAACACAAGTTCTATTATGGCCTTGATAAAGCGTCGGTAAAGCTCCAACATGTCCAAGAAAACTCCGAACATCCCTAATGGTCTTAGGTGGTTTTAGGTTTTCTAAAACTTATGTTTTTGCTCTATCAACTTCAATACCTTTTTCAGATACTATGTGTCCTAAAACTATACCTTCAACAACCATGAAATGACACTTCTCCCAATTTAACACAAGGTTTACTTCTACACATCTTTCTAGAATTTTCTCAAGGTTAGCGAGATGTGATGCGGTGGCAGAACTGACTTAGAGTTTTGCGTTTGTGTTCGCAAATGTTGCGGTTTAGCAAGAGTCTCCACCGACTTTTCTTTTATCCAAAAGGAAAGGTGAAAAAGCACAGGAAAGACATTTAGAGATGTTTTCTTGAGTTCGGGGGGTAGATTATGAAAAGGGAAGGTATTAGCACCCTTTTCATCCATGGTTTTCCATGGGCTCTTAGTTACTCGCTAGATCATTTGCTTTTGTTTGAATGTGCTTGTGGTGTGGGTTTTGAAAGTATTTTGAAAACGTCTTTGTAATGGTTCTCGTCTCTATAAGAACGCGTACAAAGTGTTTGTTTGGAAAATAGTTCAAAGATGTGTTTGTAAAATGTGTTTTTGAAAGTGATTTTGAAGGTGATTTTGAAGGTGATTTTGAAAAGGTGTCTTTGTAATGGTTCTCATCTCTATAAGAACGCGTACAAAGTGTTGTCTTTCGAAAATGTTTCAAAATGAGAGTGTTGGTGTATAAAATGTTTTTGTTGTGAGCAAGCGAGCAATTAGGAGAAAATCTACCTACTCAAAGGTCTTAGATGTTCTTTTCCTCTTCCTTTAGATGTTGCTATCTTACCATTGATTTGGTAAGAAGCCCCATCGTTGGATGTTGAGGGACGATTGTGGGACGTTTGTGTAGTCGTAGAAGGCAACCTATGGAACATTTTAGCAATGTCGTTTTAGGGACTAGATCGTTTACCAGAGGCAACATCGAGGGACTACGATCTTTTATCGAGGGTCTTTTGCTAAAACGCCCATGTTCGAGGGACATGACTATTTTTCGATAGGCCACAAGTGAGACTACCCTAAGGGTGCATGTGTGCAAAGTGAGTTTGATTGCATGCGTGTTTTCTTGATTAGGGTGATCTATTTGTGGATTTCATATCTTGCCATACATACCCTAGTTACTAATAATATATGAAAGCAATGAAAGTGCGGAAAATAAAGATTCTACGCTATTACAGTCATTAGGGGGATAAGGTGTACAAATTTACGAATGGGGGTTTGCAAGAAAATAAATCCTAATTGCTTATTACAACCATATTGAAATGATAAAGTAAGAAAGAAAAAGGACTTGTTTAAAAAAGGTTTTTGTCTTAAAAAATAAATTAACTAGTAAAAGTAAAATATTTGTATGTCCTTTTTATGTTGATAAAAAGGGTATTAATATTAAAAGTGATAAAAAAAAGGAAAATAAATGAAAGATAGAAACAGCGTGTTGTTGCAAGCAAAACAATGAGGATCAGAAGTTCTAAAGTCAGACACGTGGTGACTCAGAAAGAAACGTCAGTGGGCATCAGAAGTTCTGATTGGTAAAATCTGAGGTCCTGCAAGAAACATTAGAGGGAAAACACAAAAGTTCTGGGTGGTATTCAGACAGTGGGCCAAAAGTCAGAAGCTTCGCGTTACGCTAAAATAGTGAGTAAGCATCAGAAATTCAGCGTATTGTCAGCATGTGAAAATCAGAAACTCTGAGTGTTTAAAACAGCGAGTGGAAGTATCAGAAGTTCAGTGTGCTTAACAATAAGGAGAACTCAAGAAGTTTTGTGCTATGCTAAACAATGAGTGAGCCTCAGTAGTTCTATGTGTTAAATAAGTGAGTGGAAACATCAGAAATTTTGTGTCATATTTCAACTCTTTTCTCATATTAATTAACCATCAACAGCTTATTCAGTTCTTAATCAAACCACAAATCAAAGGGATAAGAGCACAACAATTTATAGAAGTTCTAATCTTACTCCTAAGCCTATCCTTAATCAAGAAGTTCTGATCCAAAGTTTTTCTATTCATGCAATGATATAGACAACATCAATACTATGATATTTACATGTTTAATGATGTTCTGAATGAAAAGATGCAGAGTCAGAAAGACTTACCTTGAACCTGGAGCGTGTGTTTGGAATTTGGACTGCTGCCTTTAAATGTTTTGAGTCAGCAAGAGCAACAGAAGAGGAACTGCCAAGCTCTTTGGTTAAAAAGGAAGAACAAAGGTTTGGTTTTCTGTTTGGGATTTCTGGATTTTTATGAAGGGGTTCTACATATTTCTTTTCTCTCTTTTGATGATTCCCTCTTTCCAAAAGCTAGCCCCTTGAACGTGTGATGGAGAAAATTATTTATAGATGGGTTTTCTGTGGTTTTGGGGGGAAAACAAATGGGATTCGAACCTTTTTGGTATACTGTTCCATTGCTTTTTAATCACAATTTCCGTATGCTAATTTGATGCAAATATGGGGTTTGAGAAAGTGCAGGCATGGACTGGGTCAACAGCTGATTGCAGGACTGTGATGTAGCAGGGCAACAAGTTGCTTAAACGAGGTTTTGGGATTTGGTGATGTTCTGATGGCAGAAGGCGAGAAGCGTAGCCTCCATATGCTGAAGAGTCAATGTTCTGACCGAAGAACACTGCTTCCATATGTTCTGATTGAAGCATCATGTTCTGAATTGCGTTTGTAACTTCTGACTGCACTTGCGTGGAGGCTGGCTCAGAAGTTCTGAAGTATCATATACTCTTAACACTTAGAAAATTTTCTAAATGTTTAGAAAATTTGATTTTTTTTCAAAGTAACTTCTGACTCCTGACTTTTTGATGAATCAATCTCATGTCTTGATGAAATAAAATTGTTGAAACTTGATTTGATCTGAAAGTCAAAGTTTGACTTTTCAGTGTGCTTTTGACCATTTTGCCCTTATGGATGATTTCCTTGAAAAGTGATAATTCAAGACTTGGAACTTGATAGAAGCAAACCTGAGAGTCCAGGATGATCCTTTGAGAAATGAGAGGGCAAATTTTGGGGTACAATAGTTGCCCCTGTTCAATCTTCTTAAGCCTGAGGATGTAGATTGGTTGATCTTCCTTTCGTGATCTGAAGGTGGAAGATGATTGAACACTAGAGTGTCCAGAAATTTGCACTAGCATGAAGTAATTTTGATTGGTGATATCAGAAGTGGGCTTAAAGATGCCATCCGGAAAAGATCGGTTGTGTAAGTGATTTTTGGCGAGAATTCATGTGCTTGCTGTTGAGGGGAACTTTGATGGGGAATATTGATTTATGCATTGGAAAGCAAAGTCCAGGAGCTTCGATTGTCCATTACTCTACTGGGGAATTATCTCCAGACTGAGGGGGGCGAAAGTAGAATGTATACCCAGTCAGGGTCCAGGCTGTACAGCAACTTGCTGGGGAAATGTGAAATCGACCGTATCTGATCGGGTCCAGGCCTTACAGTGTTGTAACCTGTTTTCTGGAGATAAGGGAGAAGGAACCTGGATAATAGGGTTACTTCGAAATGAAAGCCTGGGTAGTAGGGCTCGTGGGAAGGAACTTGGATAGTAAGGTTACTTTGAAATAAAAGTCTGGGTAGTAGGGCTTGTGTGAAGGAACCTGGGTAGTAAGGTTACTTCGAAATGAAAGCTTGGGTAGTAGGGCTCGTATGAAGGAACCTGGGTAGTAGGGTTACTTCGAAATGAAAGCCTGGGTAGTAGGGCTTGTGTGAAGGAACCTGGGTAGTAGGGTTAGTTCGAAATGAAAGTCTGGGTAGTAGGGCTTGTGGGAAGGAACCTGGGTAGTAGGGTTACTTCGAAATGAAAGCATGGGTAGTAGGGATTGTGTGAAGGAACCTGGATTGTAGGGTTACTTCGTTTGATCATGTAGATTAGTTGACCCGT